TAAACAATAATACGTACGTATCAACCTACCTCCTAAATTCATGCTTTCAACTATTATTAAGCTATTGTTTACAGCATGTTCTTAGAAAGTAAGGTGACCATCAAGATCCTAAAAAACTGGACACCTTTAAACAGAACAGGATATTGATGGTATTTTGAGACTGAAAGCAATAACCTGTGCTAAACTATTAGGTATATTAGTGCAACCTGACACTAAAACAAAAACAAAAAGTAAACACAATCGCTGTCACTGTTAACATATGTTTTTTTGTTATTTTGTACACGCTTATTGCTTGTTTTATATCTTTTAATTTAAAAATGCTGTCGATATGTATTTGATCATATTGGACATAATTGTATAATATCACGATATAATATCACTATAATGTCATGATAATGCCACTGCTGAGACCAAGTACAGCTGTTCAGGGTCATTATAAATATGGACTATAGATCAATATTCAGCAGATATTCAGCAGATAATAAAAAAACGACTTTCAGATCACGGCAACTGAAAGTAAATTATTTAAAGATGCAGTTTAGCTTATGAATTTTGTAAAGCTGATAATATCACATTAAAGAATAGTTAAACTATTTGGCAAACTTGCTGTTCCTTGGATTACTTTTAGTTTCAGAGCAATTTATTTTAATTTGTGGCTCATAGTGTCTGTTTTTTTTAAGACTGATGGCCACTCTTTTTGAAGAAAATGTGGTTCAGGTCACTCTATTCATGAGGAATATATACGCATTTGGATTTCACTGTCGAAGGCATGTGCAGTCTTAGATTTAATCTGTCCTAGTAGAAATGTTTCTTTTAACAGGAATTGTATTCTGTATTGTATTCAGATTAGTAGTGCTTCCCTCGATTGAACAATCATAGTTTCTCCTAGCTTTTATTTGTCCCACTGCTTTCACCTTATGATTAGGCCTAGTGGTAGGAGAGTTGTGTGGTCACTAAACCCCCTGCAAGCAACAATCTATAGGAGGCAATCAACTACTGAGTTGAATATGTGGAACCAGGAAAAGAGGAAAAGCTATGAAATGAGCACAGTGGAGATAAGGAGCTCATATATTCTCGTGAGGTAACCATAAGTACTGGAATTTTTACGTTATCTAATTACCTCCCTTAAACACAAGCTTTAGGGGTAAATTGTTTGAAGGACTAATTATTGATCTGTGTAGTTAATATGCTATGCAGCGATAATATTCCCTTACACACACCTAACAAAGTCTACTAAAATTGAAAAAAATATATCTTTTACTTGTAAAATGATTTTTGTAGAGCCCAACTCATTACTGTTTATTAATTGTGTATTAGATGAGGACTGAAGGAGTTTCTTTTTCTTTATTACTGTTATAGTGTTATAAGTGCTTTCAAGTCTAAATGTCTTAAGTTGGTCTTTTGCTTATTAAACCTATTGTTTATAATATTCAGCCTCCCTTTTATGTTCTTAACTGGCACCAGGCTGGCATCTGTACTTTTGAGTTATTGTTGGGCTATTTTTGTTGCTGTTGCTTTTGAGAGTCAGGTTATTTTATAGATATGCAAAATGTTATATTATATAATTATTATATATTATTATAGAGCTTGAAGGTTTCTCTCTGCATACTATTAGAAAAGATTGTGGACCACTGTAAATAGGAATGTCAGCCCCCTAGCTTAAATTGTCAGTGAAAACATGAAAAAGATGTAATGTGCTCTCAACCAATGGGCAATATGCATATGATCATTTATCAAGGTGTGTGTCAACTCTGATGGTGGTCATGATACTTTCTTAAGCAAGTTGGATAAAGGTAACTCCACTCATTCAGACATGATAAAATATTTATATGTATACACACTGAACAGCAAACAAATCTTAAAACAACTGAAACAAATAAATTTATATTTTCAGTGAATGATAATTAATTAAATGATATTTTCAAATAAATACATTATTTGTGGGTGACACAAATTATTAGCCTGGCAGCCAGCATCGACTTCATCAATGACATCGACTACCTCGACTTCTGTATAATTGTGTCTTTAGAGACACAATATCCATAGCTGCTAATGTTTTCAATTGCTGCACGTTCTCTCTTTAACAGCATTTATATAAAAAAATCTTACAATTCCTTATTATTTGTAGGGGGGCGTACAACCTGCAGATCATTGTACGAAATGGAAATGAATGCCATATCCTAGTATGCACACTTGCAGTCTTTTTGCTGTATATTGTAACGCGACGGGTTCAGCAAAGATAGAAACAGGAGCTCAGCCTCTAATGAGAAAATGGCGCTTTATTAACCGGATGTGCATCTGGCACAGCAACCACATTTATTTAAAATGATTCTCTGCCGATGTGCACTTAACCACTGGTAACGAAGCAGCGCTAAATATGGAACCATAGAAAGCACTATGACCTGTAAGGGTGTCCCTTTACGCTTTTTATAACAGTGCACCCTCGAGTGTTCACGCACTTTTAATCCACACTTGCGCTATGTCACTGAAATGTGGGCTTGAAGGAAGGATTTAGGGCTTAAGTAACCTGTTGAATGTGCAAATTCTGGGTGGTAATATTTACAGTAGAAACATAACTTAAAGATTTTTTTTTTTCCTGTGAGTGATAAGAATATTAGCAGTTTAGAATTTCTTAAGTGGTTTACTTCATATTTAAGTAATTGTTTTCATTATGTTCAAATATCTAATTATTGTACTTCTTCATCAATGTCACCAGTTCAATTTGGGGTACCACAGGGATCAGTGCTGGGGCCAATATTGTTCTCTCTTTACATGCTGCTGCTAGGTAGGATAATACAAAAACATAATATTAACTTTCATTCATATGCTGATGACACGCAAATATACTTTTAGTTTACACCAAACGACAACTCTTCTATTATCGCTTTAGTTAATTGCATTAATGAAGTAAAGACTTGGATGTGTGAAAACTGATAAAACTGAGGTTCTGTTGTTTGGAGGAAACAATACTGATAGGACAACTATAACTGAGAGGATTTAAAAATGTGCCTCAAAGACTCAGCACATAACCTAGGCTTAGACACAAGGCTTTCATTTAACTCTTATGTTAAAACAGTATCTAAAACATGCTTCCTACAGTTAAGAAATATTGCAAAACTACGGCAGTTTCTCTCCACTCAAGACAGAGAAATTAATACATGCTCGTGTATACAGCAGGTTAGACTACTGCAATGCCTTATTATCAGGGAGCACCCACCACTCTTTTAACACCTTACAGCGAATTCAGAATGCAGCAGCTAGAATTGTTACTAGGAGCAGAAAATACAACCATACAACCCCCATACTTAGCTCTCTTCATTGGCTTCCTGTCAGGAACAGGGCGGACTTCAAAATCCTTCTACTTACTTACAAGGCTCTCAGAGGTCAGGCACCTGTCTATCTAATGGAACTTATTAATGTCTACCATCCAAGTCGCCTGCTTAGATCACAGAATGCAGGTCTCCTTCATATTCCACTAATTAATAAAATAGCAGTTGGCGGTAAAGCCTTTAGTTACAGGGCCCCTAGCTTATGGAACAGTCTCCCACCCCATATTCGGGATGCCGAGTCAATCTCAGTATTCAAATTCAGACTGAAGACCTATAACTTCAGCTTAGCCTATTCACACCTTACATTATAGCCTGCTGCAACCATGGCTGCTGGAGTTTGTGCCCAGGCTGGGTACCATCTGAGTTGGGTGCTGCATCACTGCCATGGATCCAAGAGGGACATTGTGGATAAAGCTATCGTTTAGGAGGATTTTGCTGGTCTACAGAGATCTGCAAGGAGTACTAACACACAGAAGACATGATGGCTGGATGGATTAATACCCTCATCGTTTCCTTTTTTAAATTATATAATGTTAGCATGCCCAAAGGGGTTGGGACGCCAGTTGACCTTGGACCCCTAGAGGTTTTTTCTCTCCTTACTATGGAGTTTTTGGTTCCTCTCCTCTGTCTTCTGGTCTTCTGTTCTGTATTGACAAAATGCATTGTCTATTGTTAAGCGCCTTCGGGCAACCTTGTTGTGAAATGCGCTATATAAAAATAAATTGTATTGAATTGAATTCCAATGTTGGTTAGAACTTGTATCATTAAACAGTGATAAACAGGAAAAAGTGATTAATCTGACATAAATTAATGTGGCATCTGTTATGATGGATGTTGTTTTCATCCATTTTACATCCATTTTGAAATTTTAGATGACTCCAGATAGTAGATTGATCAATACATGGCTTCATAATGGTTAATAAGGTGTTTTTGTCCATTTTGTTAATTACTTTTTTCTTTTATTCTGTCAACCACATCACTTCAACACTTATATTAGTGCCTCATCACTTTTTGGCCCTAGACCGCTTACCCTATACCCCAAGTATAATAAATTTACACAGATTTCCTGCAGTACCAAGATGTTTTAAAGCTGCTGAACTGTTAGCAAAAATATTTAAATCAGAAAACAGTCTAGTACGTTATTGCTCCTTAATATGTCCACAATGGCAGATCAATATTATTAATACTTTTGAGTGGAAGCAAGTCATTTAGTTTGATATATTGCTTATACAAGATACTGAAGCATAAGATTCAATCTTATGACTCGTATCAAGTAATAAAATTAATGCTTTTAAAGAAACATGTCTTGAGTGAAATGTCCCAAAAGTCGAATGAAGTATTTCATAGCAGTTATAAGACTTGGCACTGATTATCATACAGACATAGACTGGCTTTACCTGATGCATTCTGTTGACTACACATCACACAGTAAGACTACAGAACAACAGGATGTGGAGAAACTACACTCTCCATTTTCTGTGGTTTTTGGCACATTGCACTCAGCAATGTCTCCTGCCACAGATGTACATTTGTATGAGTGAACCAAGGTTTTAAGTAAACAGAGAATTCTGACCCACTGAAAAACAACATTTGTCAACATTTATCCTACTGTGCTGTGTTAAGAAATGCATTTCAAAGTAATAAACCAAGCCAACATTTCTCTACCTACAGACCTCAAAGGAAGACCTGCTTCAGGCAGATTTCGAAGGGGCACTGAAGTTCTTCCGTGTCCAGTTGCCAAAACGCTACCGGGCAGCTGAGAACGCTCGGCGTCTGATGGAACAGGCCTGCAACATCAAGGTAGGAGCAGGACATTTTCTGGTTAGAGATGATTTTACAGCAGTTGGAATTTATTTGTGAGAATATGGATCACTTACCTTGGTCTGGAGAGCCTGGAGGGTCACTTTATTTCATTCCAGATTAGTTCTAAGCGACTTCATTGGACCATTTATTTGCCAAACTGGGGCTATTTAACAGTTTCCCAAGTCTTTGTGTGAAATCAGTTGGATGGTTGGTTGGATACAAAGTTGGATATAGGGTGGTGTAGTACCTTAGAGCTACAGTACAGCTAAGTTCTAAGTTTGGTTATGAGAACTCCCAAAAAAAATGCTTACAACTTTGAATTATCCATGTGCATTGAAGTCTAAGATAAGGTAGCACACACATAAAAAATGGCTGCACACACATAAAAAGTGTCAAATTCTGTTAAATTCTATGTTTCCACACCCTTGTTGCTCCTGCAGTTAAGGCTGTGACAAAAAAATAGACATTACGCAACAAATTACCTATTAAACCTGCAGAATTGTGTTTCTTTACAGCCAGGATTACACGCAGTAAAGAGATCCATTTTTAAATGTTGAAACTCAGTTGTTAAAACTTGGTAAAGCTTGGTATTGAATGCTTTAAGGACACATTTTCTGTTTTGGTTCCAATTAAATGCAAAGCTGATTCTAATTAAATGTGCTGATTTACGCTTCTGTACAAATGTACAATTGAATGTACAGTTATGAGAAAAAGTTTGTAATTATCTGGATTTCTGCATGAATGGCTCCTAAAATGTGATCTGATGTTTATTTAAGTCATAATTATAAATAAAGACAGTCTTATTTTACAAACAACATGCACAGCATTTTACTTTGTCATATCTTTTTTGAATAAATGGTTTAAACCAGTTGTTCTCAAACTGTGGCACGGGTACCACTTGTGGTATGCGGAGCGCCCCCAGGTGGTACGCAAGATGACCCTGGAAATGTGTTGTGTGCACTGAAAAATTGGGATGGGTTTTCATATTTTCTATTTTAATAAAATTAGTTTAGATATCAAATACAGTGCGCGCTAATACTTGAATGGACAGAAGAGCTACTATGTAATTCTATATCATTGTATAGGAATGCTTGCTACAAACACAAGTGACCAATTGTATTTAAAAAAAGTTATTTCCAGCAAATAGGAAGGTAGGAGAATGTGCATGATTTTGGAACAGTGCCAGTCTTATAAGCATAGGAATGTGTGCTACGAATGTAAGTGACTGTTTTGTTTTAAAAGTTATCTTCTGCAAATAGGGAGGTAGGAGAATGTGTATGGTTTTGGAACACTGGCAATCGTGAGAGCACAGAAAAGCTTGATAGTTAACAGATAAATATTTAAGGACTGTCCTAGCTTAATTTGAGAAAAATACATAGAACGTCGCAGTGTTTCGCTCCTGTGCACATGAAATAAAAACGTCTTTTAACTTCTGAGATGGACTCCTAAAACGGAAATGGGGGAAAATGCAAGCCTGCTGATTGCTTAAGCAGGTAAGCCTCACGATATTTGTGAATATCTTTGCTTACCATTAGTAAAAGAGCTGACGTATTATGTGTGGAGAAAAAGCTGCAAACAGCTTGACCTGCTGCCTACGTCAAAAGACACAGTCACGCGTGGAAGTATTGATATGTCAGATTATGTCAAAAGTACAGTACGCTGATAGAGTGCGTTAAGATGAGCAGATGCTTTTCAGTGCAATTAGATGAGTCTGTAGATGTTGTTGATTTGGCCAATTTGCTCATTTACGTTAGATATGTGTTTGAGGGCATGTCACATGAGGACTTTCTGCTTTGTAAGCCGCTAACAATAAGAACTACATGAGAGCACACATTTCAGGTTTTGAATGAATTTATCGAAAAGAATGGCATCGACTGGATAAAATGGGTCGGAGTTTGTGCAGACGGTGCGAGAGCGATGAAAAGCCGACACAGCGGTGTAGTTGCATGAATTAGAGAGGTTGCTATGAAGTGGATGCAGTGCAGCATCCAGTGCGAGGCCTTGGCAGCCAAGAAAATGCCTGAGGATTTAAAATCTGTTA